TTCAGAGTGTTCACTGGCTAACTCCAAAATTGCTCCTCTTCTCTGTTCTCCTCCTGGAGTAATTCTGCTCAACAGACTGGCTCTTCTGCAAAATTATAATTAGGGGAGTCAGTAATGACACTTCAAACTATCTTAATTATTCTGAACAATGGCTAGTCCTAGTCCTGCACTGCTGTAATTAAGCCTTTCTAGATGCTTATGGTGGATGATAATTTGATCCTGGCTCCCTGAGCTCCTCATGACTGCCTCTCACACTGTCAGGATTTTATCACTAAATATATTGTGCTGCTAATATAGATTTGCTTTTTGTACCTAAACATAAAACAATAAAAGGCTGTTTTTTCCATTCTGAAGCCTGGAAATGGTTTAGTAGAATACCTTTTACTGTCAGAGTTTAAACACACCTGATTTTTGGTATGGCCACTCCAGAATGCTATCTCTCTCTAGTTCAAAGGATGTGTGTGTGACTACAAAGTGCTCAAGGGCAGAAAAACTAATATGATAAACAGGGAACAGAGGCTGCAGGCTGGGGTGGGGGCTCTAGTCTTTCCTCTCATCCTGTGAAAAGCGAGAGACACTGTAGAGTACTTAGGGAAATGTGCTGTCTCCGTGGGCAGGCGGTGAAGAGGGATGTGAGTAAGGGAGATCTTTTTCTTTATCAGTCGTCACTGGGGGAGATTAGGAGGAGAAGAGAGTGGAGGATGGTATTATGGGGATCACCAGTCATGAATGATTATAATTGCTAAATATGAGAAAATGGTGGGCGGCATGGTGGGGCAGTATTTAGTGCTGTTCACCATACAACAAGAAGTGGTCGAGGCCTGGCCGACGCGATGCCTTTCTGTGTGAAGTTTACATGTTCTCTCTGTGCCTGCGTGGGTTCTCTCTGGGTACTTAGGTTGATTGGTGACTCGAAATTGCCCGTAGGAGTGTATATGTGTGTGTGTGTGTGTGTGTGGTTGTTTGTCGCTATGTGTCAGTTCTGTGATAGACTGGCGACCTGTTCAGGATGTACCTTGCCTCTCGTCCAATGTCAGCTGGGATTGTTCCAGCCCCCTGCGACCCTGCTTCAGGATAAGCAGTGTAGATGATGGATGGAAGAAAATGTTATTTTCCTCCTTATAAATTAGTTCCTCTGGGCTGGTTTTTATATTATTATTTTAAAAAGAGCAAGATTTTATGCAGGATTTATCCCCTAAATGCAATAACATACTAATATACTGAAAGGGAAAATGCTATGTTTGTTGAGGAGAGAAAACTATATCAGCTTACTGTTCAGCGTTTCAAAAACCAGCTCAAGGCATCACTCTCCTTTAAATTAAAAACCAAAAATATCACTGGAATGTTCTACTCTCATGTCAGCAAGCAGTTAAGCAGAATAGGGACTATATTAAGGAAATATTGGATACCATATATTGGAATTAATCTCTGCAATTCAATCTCAAGGACCAATCCAATAAACAGTGTTTAAACAGTTTATGAGCAATGCAAGATGGCTTTAAGACTCCCTAGTCTGAAATCAGCAGCTAACAGTCTCAGGCTCTGAGGGTTTGTCTGGCGGGGGATTGGCTGTGTTTAGAAACAAACATTTAGAACTGACTAAGCAGATGGCAGGGTGACAACATGAGCTGCTGGTTCTTGTGTTGACATATCACAGTGGGGTCACAGCTCAAGGCAGCACAATATCTCATCTAAGTCTGTCACTCTCAGTTCCAATTAACTGACAATCCGAAACAACCAGAGAAGGCTGCAAAAGAATGGATATCATGTGATATACTTTGAATATACATAGTATGAGCACATTGTGAGTGTAGCAGTGGTGGAAGAAGTACTCAGATCCTTTACTTAAGTAGAACTACCAATACCACACTTAACAAAACTCATCAAATAAACCTTCTTAATTTAAAATCCTATGTATTATCAGAAAAATGTACTTAAAGTAAGTTATAAAGCTTATTCTATAGTAAGAGATCCCCTGTGATGAGAGATTACTATACTGTATATTACATTTTAATGTTATTACTGGTGCAAAAATGTGTACAATAAATAGTAGTTTACTGTTATGGTTGGCTGAGTTGGAGCAAACTTTAACTACACCTACACATTGAAGTGTCCTTGGGCAAGACACTGAATCCCCAAGTTGTCCTCGATGGTAAGAGCCATCGGTGTGAGTTGGTGCCACAAATGGCTGCCTCAGTTCTGTACCGGAAACAAATTCCTTATGTGTAACATACTTGGCCAAATAAAGGTGATTATTATTCTATTATCCTATAGGCCTAGACTGCTGGGGGCCCCATGATTCTCTCCTCTCCTCTCCATGTATTTATATATGCCACCATTACGCGTCACTAACTGTGTGTCTCCTCTCTCTCATCAACATCAACCTGTCTAGTGTTTGAGTGTTGTGGGCGATTGTGGTTCAGTAGGTAGAACAGATGTCTCCCAACCGGCAGGTTAGAGGTTTGAATCTCGGTGCCTGCAGTCTACATGTTCAGTGTCCTTGGGCAAGACACTGAACCCCCAAGTTGCCCCCGGTGGTTAGAGCCATTGGTTGAGTTGCCTTGGTTCTGTAACAGGAACAAATTCCTTGTTGGCCAAATAAAGGTGATTATTATTACTTTAGTTTTAGCTACTAGATTTATTTATAATTAGTTTAGTGCAGTGGTTCCTGTGATGATCAGTGCAGTTACACATAGTTATCGCCAGGGAGGCGCTAAGTACCGGCTACTTATGTGGGTATACATTAGTAGAGAGGAAGTCGGTGCGCCGGGGTTAGTGAGAACATGGTGATGGAGTTCTGAATGAAGAGTTCATGCCGTCCAAAACAAGCCTCATGATTGTCAAAAACAAACACAACAGTTCCCAGTTTAGAAATCAAGCCTCTCCAGAGGGTCATCAGCCAATTCTGAGGGCAATACAGTATATAACTTGGCACAATTTTTTTTTAAGTAAGGGTTTACAACAAAACTTAAGTTGTACTTCAATAATGAATTGTACTTATGTATCTTTTTTATAATCTGAAAAATAACTAGTAACTCCACTTGTCGTTGAGTAAAAAGTATATTTCTCTTTGAAATGTAGAGGGAAAGAAGTATAATGTAGAATAAAATGGAAATGCTCAAGTTAAAGAACAGGTACCTCAAATTTGTTCTTAAGTACATGTACTTACTTACTTCTCAGTACTGGAAACATAAGGTGTCATCAAATAATCATAAGAAAATTCAAACTGACAGATGCATTCACCACTGGGCAAATCACGTTTCTTATATCTCAGTCTAATGATGGTAACTATTAACATGAACCCAGCACTCAAATTATCACCCTAACACTAGCCCACACATAGTTTTGTCATGTTGGGCACATATGGCTCATTTCTGACCATCATGATTTTTCAGCAGAGGAAGCTTTTTTGGGGGCTGGGACATCAGGTTGGCAACCTGTGGCCAGCTCTCTGATGTTATCCACGCGTGTGCTTTCACGAACTTAATCCCAGGAGGCACACACATATACAGAAATACACAAAGTCACCCATGTACATGGAAACACATGCAATACACACTGACATAAAAAAGGAAACTTTCAAACATACACATCAAAAGCTTGAGCCTTGCAAAGTTGGCATTTGGGCAATATTTGTGAACAAACTGCCAGATGTCAAAAGGCTTTGATGGCAGGGTTTTAGAGGGGAAAAAAACACTAATACGGATGTGCTGTAGTTACTGTTTATGTTTCTGAGTGCTCTGAGCCTTGGGCTGCAAAATATGTAGTGCCAGGGTGGTATGCTATGAGTGTGAGAGGAGCTGGAAAGTAAAAGAAATTTTCTTTTAAAACAAACTAAAAAAATATAGCAACAAAGGAGGCTGCTGGATGCCACATAATGGTACTTTTATTGAGTTTAACAACTCTAATTTAGACTTTCAGAACATTCGAGTTGCATTATTCTGGTTGACTGAAATACACTCAAATTCCCATGTCCCTCTCAAATGCCACTATTACTGTAAAACCTGTAGTTAAAGCTGAGGCATGCTTTCTTCCTCCACCAACAGTGGCATCATTGAAAAGGGCTATCTGGGAAGACAGAAAAAAAGCTTCAGACACACACACATACAGTGGTTTGACCCTAAGGCCTGTAGGGTAATGGTAGGATTAATTACTGTTGAGTCTGACCCAAGGAGAACTAAAGCAGATTATCTGAGATGCTGCAGAGGAAGGCATTAGCGCTGGTTGTCCATCTATCGCACCAGAGAGACAGCCACCTCAACCGCGGGGATGTCACCATGACTTTGCTGATCTGGCCCCTACACAAAGCCCACACACTGACAGCATACATGAGGCTCACATGGCAACAGGAGCCATGCACCATTCGTGCCATGCTCCTGTGTGCCTTGTTGCTGCTGTCAGACGTAAGCGGGCAGTTGTAAGTCAGCTCCTCTCCGCTGAGCAGGCCTCAGAGGTGGAGATATGTAATTACAATAGACAATCTAAAACAAAGCCCTCCACTTTCAATGAGTTCCTCTTGGAGAAGGGAAGGTTACCTCAAGGGGGAATTCTAATGAAGCAGATGGCTGAGTGCTCAAAGGGGCAGATGCAGACTGTCCTCCTTTTCACAGTCTGCCAACATTTCCAGCGTTCTGAGGGGCTTCACCTGTCTCTTGACCACTCTGTGTGTCTCTCAGTAAAGGTGTGTGTTTATGCAAAAGGATTTTGCTCATTGCTACATTTTACACTATAGAAAGAAAAATCTGAGAATAGCCTCACAAATGTACCATTTCCTACACTCAGCTGCATATTTGCACAGGTAGGCAAAAAATTAATAAAAATGGAGACAGAATTCCCTAAAGACGTGCTATGCCTGAGATGCTTTGTGAAGTGTGGTTGAGAATATGTTGCATGTGAGACAAACAACAAAGAGGACAAAAAAAAATACTAGACAGATATTCTTTATATTTTATTCTATACTTTTTTATTTCATCTGTGTGCTTATTGATGACACAGTTTTTGCACCACTCCTTTCACCGCCACACAAGCTACAAGCCATGGCTACTGTGTGTGTGGTTGTTATGTGGGTCAGCTCAAACAGGTACCCATCCAGTCACACCATACCTGTACAGTTTCCTTATTGCTTTTCCTCCAGAGTTCCAGTGTTAATTGCAGGGAAAAAATTATATTCATTGATCAATAGCAAAGCAGTCAAAATAATGTTCTCCCCAAATAGTCATGTGTCCAAATAAGAAGTGTTGAACCAACATGAAACATGAGAGATTATACAATGAAAATGATGTTTCCTTAAAAACCATGGACATGTTATGATTCCTGTACATAGAATCTGGTGAGCGTTGCTTATCATTATTTGTTATGCTGATGATGACAACACTTATTAAGACAGTCTAAAATAAATACAGAAATGTAAATGGGTCCTATGGAAATTTATAAGTCTGTAAAATTCAGTATCTGGTGAAAATTATGTTCCCAACATCAGATTAAGTGAAATTTATTACATACTACAGCAATTGAAAGGTAGCTACAAGATTTATTTTTAACGTAGACCTTCATATCTCCATTAATCCACTGAAAAGCAGTTTCACCTTTGGCTTCACCACAGGATTTTCTGATCAGCTGCAACCAACAGAAAAACGTGTATATGACCAAGTTGTAAAGTAGCATAAATTAATGAATTTATACTGACAGCTACAACAAGAGACACCTGACAGTAAGCTGTACAGTGCCAATAACATGAAGGAGCTGTGGGTGGTCTTTCAGAGGGACGTTATAATATATGCACCCCACTGTTGCATGGTATCCCTAAACTGCATCATATCCAGGTTACACTGCTCAACTGCCCACTTTGTAGTCAAATTAACATTACTGTCATGCTGTTCCATCTCTCTGGAGCAGCAGCAAGGGAATTTTTACTTCATGTAGCAATCTTCAGATCATATCCAATCACTCTAAGGTACACTGTCAGACAAAACACCTGATTCTGATACTTGTGTAGAAAATAAATTGAGCATTTATGGAAGGGGAAGAGGAATTTGTGGTCATGAATGAATAACAAGGGCACGGGAAAACATGTTTCTTCCTCCCCCTGAGAAATTACTGGTTTGATTCCGCTGCTGCTACATCTAATCCTCAATCACAGCAAATGATTTCATTAGCGTGCATCCCCAGTTCACCAACCCACAATCATGGGTGAGGAGGGCAGCACAAAGGAAGAGGAAAGCTAATCTAAGGTGGTGAAATTGGAAGCACAAAAAAACAGAATCTGAGAATGCTGCATAACAGAAACAACCGTGAATTGGAAATGGTACAGAGTTGCCATGTGGAGCTCCATCAAAGCTTTATGAGGGGGCTGCACTGAAGCAGCTTAGCAACCTGATGTCTGCCTCACAACATATCTAGCTAGGGCCAACAGCAGGGCTAGAGCCAGGTATGGCCTCAGGCAGAGAACAAGATTAATAACTTCCATCAGAAGTTATTAATGTATACGAGATGCTCCTTTTTTCCCCCAAATACACAGTTTTATTCTCAGTCCTTGATAGCCCTAGACTCGTTTAAAGTAGATTTCATACCACTGCATGATGTAAAATGAAATAATACTTTACAGAATCACCACAGACATGGCAGGAGCATTTTCACAATTTTGAATGAAAGGTTTTCAGAACAGACTAGCTTGGAGCATTTGGGCAGAGCATGGTCCTTCATTGCTATTTCCTCTGTTGTTCTCAACCAGCAAATTTCTTATCATATTTAGATGGGTGACAGGATGAGGTGTAATGAAAATAGTTCCCTGCATATGCAAGTGAGTCACTGTTGTTTTTGTTTATTTGCTTGTCTCAAAAGACACAAAGTTTCAAACCCTCCTTGGCTTATTCCCAGCTGATTCCTTGTAAAAATACAGTCTCCCTATACTTCATTATGCTACAGATTCAGTTGCATCAAATAGTTTGGGAGGATGGAAATAGAAAATCAGTCAGGTGAAAACCTTGTTATTCTCATGTCTTTACAGAATGAAGCATTACATGGTCGTCAGTGAGTTGAGAAAATTTCATGATCCTAAAGATTTTGAAATCTATTTTCCTGTCCATTTCAAAGCTGCATGGTTATCAATTCTTAATTTCATTAAAATGGCAGTTTTCTTGCATAAAAACCTCAAAGACAGGAGATTTTTCAGAGATGCTGGCCCAGGTGAGACAGGCAGGACATCATGCAGATTCTACTGACACACTGTGTCCACCCACCACTCCTCAGAATCACAAATCTGTGATAATGAATGAATGTCATAATGAACAGACCAAGTTTAGGTCTAGTAAACAACCCTTGCCCAATGTCTATGTCTCCATAAACTCTAATCTGTCCCTTTCTGTCCCTCCTTACAGAACACCCACCCCCAGCCAGGCAGCAGGGGAAACACAGTTGCACACACACACACAAACACTAGCTGTTAGCTACATGACAGCGCTCACTCATATCCTCTCAATCAATGCCACAGAGGCAAGCATCCAATAGCACTAGGGTGAAATGCCACAAGTCCCACCCAGAAACAAGTACCCTGTCAGAATACCCCATGGGGTGCCTGTCTACCTATTGTCCCCATGGCTATCTGACCACATCACTGTCTCAGAGCATCAGCATCTCCTCACATCTACACCGTAGTCTCATAGACCGGCTTCAAACTGTTCTCCAGCACCATACTGTAATAAGGTCATACTGTGAGGAGAAAAAGGGATGTGTTCCTGATGTGTGTGGCACAGCAGTCTGTTTGCTTTGGTGCACAGCAAAGCCAACAGGTACAGGAGGGTCAAGGTTTAACTGTGTGCAGACTATCAACATTCCAGAAGTGCAACAATTCAGCGTGTTTAATTTTATGCCATTCTGTTGGTGAATTCTGTCCCTCCCACCTCTTTGCCCCTGTAGATGGTAGTCTAAACTCTAAAGATTCCTGGGCTTAGTACCGTGAGGTGCAAGGCTAACATAAATGTTTCAAAGCCTTTAAAATAGCTGTTTACTGCCAATGTAAACGAGATGAGTGAGCTGAACAAACACTGCTCCATAGTAATGCCAGCTCTGTGTATATCCAAACACAAAAATGATCAATTACTAGTTTCACCTGTGTAATTCTGTAATGATAAGCTAAATAATCAGTTCTTATCTATATCAGATGATTATATTCTACATTTCATAGAATAAGTGGCAACACACATCATGTCTGGATATTTTGCATCAGCTACTGTTTTTGCCTGTACTTGCAAATAAGAATAATCTTTGCTGTTTCAGTTGCACCGAAATAATGAGACAATGAAGCCACATGCTTACCATTGTTTCCATTGATTGTTGCTATATTTTCTCATATTCACTGCTGTAGGAAAACTGCATTTTTGTTTTTTGTACTGGAATCCAAACACAAATGAAGAAACCATTCAACATTCAACAACACAAGCAATGAGGATATTGATTAATATGGTAATGTAGAAGTGCAAACATTTCCACTCGGAGCAAGTTGCTTGTGATCAAAAACGTATTTAAAATGTAAAGGTTACATTATTATGTCATGTTCACCTGGAGTTGCAATGCATGCATCATGACTAGAGCAAAAACCACATATTAAATCCATAATAAGAAAGCTGATATGAACTCCTTGCTATGTAAACTAGCCTGGCTGATCTGAAAGCAGTAAGGTAGAAAATCAACTGGTCATAGATTTTCCAGCTGCAAATTCAGTCAGGGATATTTTCAAAACATAAATTGTTATGGATGAAAACTTTTTTTCCTCTCCTGCCAGGAGGAGTCTTTAGGTAAATCCCAATTCCCTTATTTGATCATTCCTTGGTCCTCGATCCTCACTCGACCCAGAAGTTGTTCCAGCTGAGTGAGAACTGAAGATGTCCCAAAGCTCTTATTCCTGATTTAAGAATCAAGAAACAAGAAGGCTGCATGGAGAAGACATGATGGAGGCTACACAAGAGCATTCTTCATGCAACTTTTATGGACTGACATACCCCTTTCTTGGAAACCAGCTGGTGATTGGATGATTCAGACGATGGATCTGACAAAAGGATGCCTCATGTCTGTAAAAACGTTCCCTCAATTTTCCCTAATCTTTTCTTCACACTTTATGTGGGTGGGAGTAAGACACAAGAAAAAGATGCAAGGGAAGGAAACATGAATACAATTAAGGAAACTGAGATTTACCCATAGTGTGGTCCTGTGTTTGTGGGCATGTTTGTAAATGTGCACTCATGCAAGTATGTGTCATTCCATGCCATCCCTTGTTATAGAGACTTATGGGAACTGTAATGAGGGAAGAGTGTGGTCACTGTGAACCTGTGCGTGAGTCCATGATAGTCTGGGAGGGTCGAGGGATTACAGTCATGTCTTGTTAAATTAGGTTGTTGTGGCTGAGTGATGTGACTGAGTTAGGGATGCAGCTGTCTGAGTGGTCTGTGTTGCTGATAAGCTGCACACAAACATGTAGAAGCAAGCTTTTTCCTTTGGGAGTTAGTGGCACTTTTCTCTACTGCAGAATGCAGTAGAGGAAGGTATCATGTTGATTAGCTCTTTGCATGTAGTGTACATTATATGTATTCAGAAATACCAGCAGCAATGCAATGAAAACTGAAGTCTGCTTTTCAAATAACTTGCGGTTTCTCCCAGGATATACCAGCTCCAATGCAATTGTATGCCTCCACTTTACTGAGCTTATGCAGTAAATAGAGGGTAGCTGTAGGCAACTACGTATATCCAGATTCCCTAGGACAACTTAGTTGGTAGCAGTTCTGTGTCTTACTAAAGGACACTTTGGCAGGAGAAATGGCTGCTGATGAAAATGTCTGTCAAAGATATTGAACCAATGGCCTTTTTAGTTATGGAACAGTCTTAATCTCCTGGGGCACTGTGCCTTCAGTGTATCTCCCATAGCTACAGTACTTTTAGCATCAACAAATGTACATACATTCAACATCTCAAACTCCACACTAGCATTCAATGAGGAGATATTTCTATTTTGACAGTGTAGTGCTACAGTAAAAGCAGTAATGCACAAATTAAATATCAAGTGGTATATTTCCTTTTCCAGCACTTTTCAGATGTTCCAGATTGTGTACTTGTATGTCCTAGAGTATATTTGCTAAATAACCGAAAGTCTTGACCTGAAGTTATCCTTTTCTTTTTTATTATTTTTGATTGGTCTGAGTGCTGCACAATGCAACACACAAGCTGAAGTTCATGGAAGTTCTTCTTTTTTAGTGAAAAAGGCAAACTTCTTTTTGATCAGGGAAAAGTCTTGCCAACATGCTTTCTACACACATTAGCAACATGAGCTTGGAAGACAAAGTGAGCTTCTTAAGACATTGTTTAGGAATTTGCAGAAAGCCAGTCACTCACATACTGTTATGTCTCAATATTGAGATGGAGGGTAGCTTGCTGAAACCCCCTTCCCCTGCTTAAAAAAACAGTACTTTTATGATAAAGTGGTATAAAATTGGATCGATGGGCCAAGAGGAGGTGAATCATTACCCCACAGAAAATGTCTTTTTGGTTTCCTCAAATCTCTTCTCCATTTCTCATAAGGTTTCGAAAAGTTTATACAGGAGGATAAATAAGTACAATCCATTAGATACATTTAAGGATCAACAATATGTGATCCTAAATGAGATGTTACAAGAGTTAGCCTCTCTTGAAGCATACTGTTTTAGCTAAAAATTTAGATAATTTTTTGAAACACACAAAAAGCTTTTATACATGCAGGTATTAGTGCATAGGTTCCTGCAGAAAAAAGGGTACTATTGTTTAATCCACTTAACTGTCTTCTCAAACATCACCAGAAAAATTTGGCATAGTTATAGAAATATTCTTTAAATGGAGATCTTTTTCCACACCCTCCTAGTCCCTTGACTAACTTATCATTTAAATATATATCCTTCTATATACATTATATGTGAAAAAAGAGAACAAAGCCTAAAACAAATATAGAGTATTCTAAAGCTTCGAGAGTTACTCAGTAAAGTGTCTTTTAAATCACAGTAAATTCAATATCCTGGTAAAATGAGAGGTGGAACACAGTGAAGTCTGAAGACACAAAGAAAAGAACACCACACAAGGAGATAGTTTGTGTGTGTTTCAGTTTGGAGGAGCACAGGAGGGTGTGATAAATCCTCACAAATTGGAAGGAAGCTTAGAGCGGACAGTTTGAGGTTCTAGATCTGATGAATAGGCAGCAGAGCCCCTCCTCAGTGGCAAGGCTGGGGAGGCCCCAGAGGAGTGAGTCTGGTGAGAGTCCCTCAGAGATGTCTGGATGGGAGGAGTCATGTGGCCCGGCACTGTGCTACTAGGTTTGGGCACAAGAGTGGGAGAAGAAAAGGGTGAGGGATAACATCCAGTTTCCACAGAAGAGTGAGGAGTTTTGTGGCCTAAGGCCTGGGCCACCTCCTGGGGCAGAGATGGGTGTGAGCTGGATAAAAGTTTTAGGTCCTCAGAAAAGCGATTCAGTAGAGAATCTCTCCCTGTTGTGTGTAGCTGGCTAAGAAGCTGCGAAGGGAGAGAAGACTGTGGCATTAGCAGAGAACTGTGTGATCCTGTGGCACTAGAGGGGTCACTGTAGTGAAAGGTCCTGCCTGCCACTGGGCTTTGAATAGTTGGGCTTGGTGCTACTGGGGTAAGGCAGGGAGAGGTGTTTGCTGAACCATACTGGGTAAGTGAGGCCAGGGCAGATCTCTCCAGTGACATCTGGTGAGGCAGGAGGCCAGACTGGAGGCCTGACAGGCTACAATGGATGAGGGAAGATGGGGACCCCTCAGCAGGGTGCTGGCTGTTCTGTCCTCTACTAGAAGACGGGGAGCCTTGTGGAGGAGAATGGAAGAGGTTTAAGCCACTGGTAGTCCTGCCTCCCCCAGCAAACTGCTGCAGAGGAACCACCTGAGGAGGTTTAGGAGGTGCCTGGCTGTGGAGTAGTGGACCTGGCAAAGGACTGAACGAGCCAGTAGATACGGGACTCTGACAACGAGAGGAACAAATAAGTCCAGCTGTAATTCCTCCAGAAGACCCTCCTACAGAAAAAGCTGCAGACCCTGCTATATGGCTCCTTACTGTCCCACCTGCTGCTCTGCCAGAATGTCCCCCAGTTGCCCCTGCCCCTGGCACACTTGAACCTCCTCCTATATGGCTAGTTGTTGATCCACCAGAGGCCCTTCCCACCAGCCCTCCAGGATTCCCTACCACTGACTCACCAGAAAGCGCTCCAGGGGGCCCCCCAGAGGCCCCTCCTGATAATCCCCCAGAAACCACTCCTATTGATGCACAAGAAGCCCTCTCTAATGATCCTCCAGAGGTTGTCACTACCAGTGATTCTCCAGTGCCCCCTCCCATTGATACTCTGGAAGTCATTATCATTGATCTCCTGGTTGCATCTCCTATTGTCCCACAAGTAATGCTCTCTGTTGATCCATGTGATGCCCCACCTGCTAATCTGCCACAACCTGCACTCACTGGTCCTTCAGATATCTCTCCCATTGATTCCCCTGACAGCCCTGCTTCTGATCCCCCAATAGCTCCTCCCAACCCAAAGTGCCCCCCAGGTGTTCCTTCTGTTGTTCCAGTTGTAAAGTCGTCTCCAGCCCAAGCAGTGTCTCCTTCCACAGAACCTCCAACTGCTCCACCTGAAGACCACCCTGTAGTACCACCACAGGCTCCAATCGCCCCAGCACTTATTCCTGACCCTGTGCTTCCACTTGTAGACCCTTGGTGGAAGAGGTGTGAGAGAGGTGGGGTGCTGGAGCAAAAGGGCTGTTGATGCTGTGGTTGTGTGTGTAGCTGGGCCATGCTAGATGAGGGTGAAACAGAGGATGAGTATGCTCCAAAGGGAAAGGCAGAAGGCCCTGCTCCACTGGACTTTGACCCAGCCCCACTAAGTCTGTGTTGGCCTCCGCTACCTGAAGCTTGCTGGCCTGTTGAATCTGACATCATATGCTGGGCCCGAAAAGAGGCCAACAATGGCATGTCCACCCCTGTGTGCAGTTTAGACGGGGTACTAGAGGAAGAGTCCCCAGCAGAGCCAGGTGCTGTTGATGAAGGAACAAATGGGTGGAACTTCCTAAGACAGCTGGGAGGGTCCTTTAGGGACCCCAGAACAGAAACTGGAGGCCTGAAGAGTGTTGGTGGGAGGTGGGGATGGTGTGTCAGGGCAATAGCTACTGAGGTGGTGGCGGCCGCTGCTTGGAGAGGGGCCTGGATGAGGGGAGCCCAGATGACAGGGGTAGGTGATGGAGGTGTCTGGGGTGGAGCATTCTGCATGAGGTGGGCGCAGTGGGCCATGTCCCTGTCGTGCTGCACAATCTGCTGGATGATTTCATTCTCCTGGTAGTTAAGTACACCAGAGCTGAGATCGTGTTGCACCTTGTGCTGCAGGATGGAATTTTTCTTGCCTTTAAAAGCACACAAACATAAAAACAGACACACAAAAAGAGAGAAATGGAAAATGAGCATAAATTTTGTAGGCAGTTTTCTAACAGGTTGACCTTCGGGTATACCTGAGTAAGATCCCTATTTTCAAAATCGCTCCCCAATAGAAGCTGTTAGCATAGGAACAACTATGAAGGGAGAAAAATGTTCCTCAAAATCACAAGTGGGAAGAGAGAAGAAAAGAAATGTAAGAAAGAGACAGGAGGATGGGGGAAGTGATAGACAAAGCATTAAAGAGCACAGAATAAGTGAAACAGCAAAAGATAGATGGGAGACAACTACCCAGAGACTGACGCACAAGATGCATGACAGCTGGTGTAGGCATTGTGTAGCTCTTACTGTGATTCCTTAGGTAACTGAGACCAAACATAAAGAAAACATTGTATTGCAAGGTGCCGATTCAGTCTGGGATAAAGTGTAAGCTACACTGATATAACTGGCCTCTCTCTTTTCTCTCTTGTTACTGGCTGTTAATATCAAAATGGAAGCATCTTAAAAAACAGCGAATATGCTGAAACTTTTTTGCTCTAAAAGTCATAATCATTTCCATGGAATAAACCATCTCATGAGATAAACATAAAAAAGAGACAAAATCTGAGATTTTATATGACTTCTTCACAATTCTATTTCTATTTCTTGGTCTTAATATTTAGTGCTCCTCCATTTTCTAGTCTTGAAAGAACTTGAAACTATGAAAATAAGGTCCCTGTGAGTTGTGTACAAGGTCAAAGAGACAAGTTGGAGATGTGTAACAGTGACAGGCATACTAACTGCTGACCCATCCTTTTAGAGAAGCATGTGAAACTTTGACCGTAAAGTCCATTAGTCATTGTTGAATGGTCACACTAGCAGTGACATGGCTAATTGACATGGTGGTCATTTTGAATTTAGTTCTAACAAAAGGCTCTGAAGATAAAGACATTGTGCATGGGTGGCACAGTAGCACAGTGGTTAGCACTGTCACCTTCCAGCCAGAAGGTTCTGTGTTCAAGACCTGGCATGCACAAGGCCTTTTTTGCGTGGGTTTTGCATGTTCTCGCCGGGTACTCTGGCAGTCCAAAGACATGCAGCTTAGGCTGATTGGTGAACCTAAATTACCCATAGGAGTGAGTTTCACATTTTCTGTTATGACTGGTGGCAGATGAGTAGAGGTGTTGTTACATCCAGCTTGGCCCAGGTACCCCCTGCCCTTTAACATCTACAGACCAATCAGACTTCAAAGTCCATCAAGAGAGTAATTCATTTGCAGATCAGTGCTGTTTGAGTGACTTGATTAGGGAAGAAGGGTGTACATGAGCACCAGGCCTAGGAGAAGGGACATACTGTACACAAGAGGGCATCCCACAGAGTTCCCTATCAGCCCCTCACATCTTTTCAAAGGAGCCATCTTCTACAAAGAGATCCCCTAAAGCAATTTCACAATCTTATATTCTAAACATAGCTGTTGATAAAACTGAGCATGCAGCAATGGCTGAGCAATGATACAGGCTGCTTTTCATTGTAATTTTTTCATCTGCCCAGGCTGAGCCTGGGAACAGTGATAATATGGAGAGAATATCAATTATATGCCAAAGAGAAGTCACACAGGGATTTCAAAACTGGAGCTCTCTCTGCATGTTTATATGCACATGACTTTGAAAGTAATTTCAGTCATTGAGTATTGGAGTGGACATTTTTGCAGCCCCAAAGCTTTGTCTGAGAGCTTTGACTGTTCTGTTTGAAATATTTTTGTATTTTCACTGTCAGTCAGCCATGCTGAACATACACACTCATAACTAAATAAAACAAAAAAGTAAAATGAAAATATAGTGATCCTCCCATACCCCAGTAATGAAATCTACTCAGTGATGTGCTGGCTATGTCAGGTGAGATTAATAACATTTACATATATATATA